GTTGGGGGGTTGGGGGGTGGTAAGTGTATTACGGCGCTCGCAAGTGCATAAGGTCATATGAGCGCGCTTGATGCATTAATCATTTTCAGTTGGTAAAAAATTTTGAATTTTGCCGGGTGGCGGCCGAAGCCTACTCTTATCGATTTTAGACCACCAAGGGATCTTTAATTAACGTGCGCAACTTGCACTCGGGACTTCCGAGGTTTTTCGCCCTTGTCCGAGAAGGCTAGGGGTAGATTTTTCCTACCAGAAGATCAGTAGTGGGGTTGAAAGACAGCAGTAAGAAGGAACCAAGGAGTAGCAGTAGAAAGGCAGTAGAAATAGCCAGGAGCCCAGAGGAGGGGGCAAAGGAGGCGAGGGGGTGGGGGCAGAAGGTGGAGACGAAAGCAGATGACAAAACATTGCTAAAGAGCAGGAAAGAAGATGAAAGAAGACAATTTTAGAGAAGAAAATGTTTCGGTCGTTACCCGGATTCGAACCAGCGACCTTTGAATGAGAGGCGAACACCTTAACCTCTGGGCCACGAGAGCCTCCTGTTGTTGTTTTTGTTGTTTCTCTTTTCTTTTCTTTTTTCTGTTATTGGGCTATGATTCTAAGAACTAAGCGCCCAACAAGACACACGTTCCTGCGTGTCGTGTTCTGGAATCTGTCTATCTGTCTGTCTATTTGTCTGTCTGTCTCTCTCTCTCTCTCTCTCTCTCTCTCTCTTAGATTCTCCCAATACGAAACACCCAGATCATTCTTCGTTTGCCACCGACGGTCGTGGTGCAGCGGTTAGGGTCTTCACCGATGCACTCAGATGACCCGCGTTGGATTCCCATTGGGGCGAATGAAATTTTATCAACCGTTTAGATCTTTCAGCTGGGACGTTGTGTCCCTCTCAGCCCTTGATGGCCCAGACAGGCAGGGTCGAAGTCGGCCTCCTACTTACTTTTTCCTTTTCCGACCTCTGTTGTTACCTTACGCCACCTAAATAATCTAAACTCTGTCGGTGGGGGGTGTAAAACAAAACGCTTACGATAATCTGCGTTTGTCAGCACTCCTACTTTTCCGTTAGTGCCAAGGGCAGATGAAGTATGCTCGGTCAACACAAAGCAGGGACCACAGCCAGTGGGAGTGTCCATACCACACTGAGAAACGGGGCTTGGCTAAGCTTCCAACCAGCAGGTCAGAGCACGGGTTGTCCAACGGCCTACACACCTTTCAAACACGTAGATCTATCTGACTGAAGCGATTTACGTTTTCTTTCTACCACACACAGCATAAGCTTCTCCTTCGAGGTTTCGCTTGTTTGCGTGTGCTTGTTTGTGTGCGTGCTTGTGTGTGTGTGTGTGTGTGTGTGTGTGTGTGTGTGTGTGTGTGTGTGTATGTGTATGTGTGTATGTGAGAGAGGGAGGGTGAGAGAGAGGGAG